TAATGAGAGATATGTCAAATAAGACATCTACTTTTCTTCATCTTGCTATAAGACATCAATCTAACGAGAGAATCTAACCAAGTGCAATTTTAACTTTTAAGTAGACTATTTTACTGGTTGATTCGATAAGATCGGCATCGCAACCACAAGAGGTAAAAATGGACAACTTCGTCCATTTTCGATCGGCCAATGCACTTTTTTGAGAAGGTCGTGAGAATTCGATCGTGACCATCGAAAGAGCATCCGAAACACTACATTTTCCATCAGAAAGAAAATTTCTTCTTTTAGTTGTCTAGGAAGTGTTTGACCAAGGAGCTTCTTAGGGTTTTATGCATGTAATAAATTGTATTTGATATTCTACATGTTATGAAAGCATCGTCTGATTGATGGAGATACTAAAAATTTATTACATGATGTTCTCGAAGAGTGGTCAAAGTAAAATACGGTAGAATCAAACGAGATAGAACTTCTACAAAATGAGTCGCAAAATATTCCAAATTACAAAAAGTTATCCTGTCGCCTCAATCGACTCTCACGATGTCTTATCTGATGTATCCCTATTTAATATAGTTTGCTTGATACCTCGTAGCTGTTCTTTTTCTCGATAATTTATTTATACTCTGATCAATACGTGACAAGAAACCCTCTCTTTCTTTTCTCTTAGAGCTCGACGTGGGCGCAAAGTCTTTCGCTATACCGAAGTTTTTTTTATTTCTATTATTCCTGTATGCCGTCAAAGTGAAGGACGACAATACTTTTTGGAAAACGAAAGCATAGTAGAGTAAAATGAAAACCTACAGAAAACGTAACTTAATATCCGGTATATATATTTTTGGATTAGCATCGTACGTATCTATATGAGCTATATTCACAAGCCGACAACCTCAAATACCTTTCAATATAGCATTCCCATCATTTTCCAAACAAATTAAAAAATTAACTAAGAGAATGTTTTTCTCCACTGTTCTAGAATTTAAATTTTGGCTCGAATAATGAACTATCATTTTATTTCATTAACAACGATAATTGTGATACTTATCAACAGTTCTTTTGCAGGTAAATGTAATTCATCTGAATGTAATCAAATCCTGTCAATTGCTGATGGTACGTCCTTTGGTTATTGTTTTGGCTATTGTACAAATAACGTAACAATAACATCATCGAAATTAATTGGTTATAATGAGAGTCGTCAAATATCTCAATATTCCCCTTTGAAAAAAGAATTTGATTATCCATTGAATAACTGGAAGGTTTTACTTGGTTTAGTTAATATTAAAAAATTTATATCAACCAATAATACACTTGGATGTCCCGATTGTGCTGATGGTGGGGCGGAATATATTGAAATTCAATTTTTAAAATGTACAAAAAGGGTCACATTTGAATATGGTAGAACTATACCGGATTTAGATGCACTGGTTAAGAAATTAAGAAATATAAGAATAGGATACTTAAAAAAACTTCGAGATGTGTATTAAAATTATCTTTCTGTGTTTAATGTGAAATCTTTTTATTTAATTTTTTATTTAATACAATCGTTGAATCTACACCTATGACAGAGATTTTACTCAGTTGTTTTATCGTTAGTACAAGCACGTTATATTCAACCACTGAGTACTGTTACGTAGGTCCTCCCACCGTTCACGACTTGACAGCCAGCCAGATTGCACTATATTAGGTTTATAGCCTGTATCGAGTTGTATAGGAATCCATCTTTGCCCTGAAGCTGGTTGATTCGATAAGATCGGCATCACAACCACCAAAGGTAAAAATGAACAACTTAGCCCATTTTCGATCGCTCACCACTGCATTTTTTTGAGAAAGTTGTGAGAGTTCGATCGTGACCATCGAAAAAGCATCCGAAATACTACATTTTTCATCAGAAAGAAAATTTCTTCTTTTAGTTGTCTAGGAAATGTTTGACCCAGGAGCTTCCTAGGTTTTATTCAAATATATGGGAAATTGTATTTGAAATAAGATTGTTAAGACTATTTGAAAAATAATAATTTTCTGATGAAATTAAACCTCTTATCTATACTTTATCTAATGGTAAAATGATTAACTTTGCATCATCTTTCGTTTTTGTACACTCTAAAACACAAGCGTCGTTTACTAAACCCAAAAGGGGTTTAATAAAATGCAATGACACGCTACCGCTTCAAAAGTTTAGTAAAAAACTCTTTTAGGGTTTAGTCACTTACTAAACCTGAAAGCGGTAGCGTGCCATTGCATTTTACTAAACCCCTAAAAAGAGGTTTAGTAAACGGTTTTTCACGGGTGAAAGGGGGGGTTTAGATTTTTCTCTAACGTTCCCGGTTTGTAGAGGACACTTCGAAGTATATGTTCTGAAGTTTTTTCGGCTTACTGACACTATATGGCTGAGAAAAAAATATTGTTAAATTTTTGAACAAGGAATTAGTATTAAAAAAATTCCTGTTCATCCTCCGATCATCACAAAAGCTTGGCTTTTGCCTAGATCGGTAGAGAGATGTGTGGAGAATATTTATTACGTGAAAGTATGCAAGAATTTTTGTTCTTACCTTCCTGATATTGACTAATTAGTACTAATTAAAGTTAATTTAGCCTACTCTACTAGCATAAAGTCTTATTTGTGAAATAGCAACACTACGAAAAAATTCAAGCAATACCTCATCTGACAGAGAATTTCACGGACTACAATATGGACCACGTTAAAAATTTCAGAATTCGTTTTTGCTCGCTCGGTAAGTCTGTTAAGTCGAAAATTTAACAATATTGTTTAAGGCTCGATACTCTGACGTTTGACAGAGATATGAATTAAACAAGGGTCGAAAAATAGCTCACCTCATCTCCAAAAATTCTCTGTGGACCCTCATTATATATATATATATTTTTTTTTTTTTTTTGAAGGTTGTCTCTAGGGCTAGGTACCCTCGTGGTCCTTTTTTTAAAAAGTCTCACCTTTTAAGCAAAAAAAGGGCTGACAAGTTAAATGACTCAAAAAAACCCTAAAAAATGGTGTTGTTTCCATAAAGATGCTTTCTTATCTGATAATAAAAAAGCTTATTTTAAAAAAAGGGCCACGAGGGTACCTAGCCCTAAACACGAGCTTTCAAACAAAAAAAAATATTTGACATTATATTGTAACAGGGTAGAAGGGCGTTGAAGATACTCCGTCGAATCCATGTTCTGAGAAAAGCGCGAAACAAGTTTATGAAATAGAAGGTGTTCGAAAAAACATAATTTAATTTTTTGAAATATATCTGCACAGTCAAATGATAGAATTTCGATTTTTTTTCAGAAGATTCGACGTGAAAAACTCTACAAAAACCTGTATGAACAATCCAAATTGACTCTTTCTGATGGTTCCTTTCATACTCAAAATGAAAAACAAAGAATTTTTGGAGATGAGGTGAGCTATTTTTCGACCCTTGTTTAATTCATATCTCTGTCAAACGTCAGAGTATCGAGCT